TAGCATATAGCTGCTAATGAAATAATCTCTACTTAACAATTCCGCTAGCGTTATCTATATCTATAATGAGTGTTACATGAACTTCTGTATGTTTGTAGATTACAATACATATTATCGATATTACATAATATTATATTCGACATGTGTTTAGTAAACTTTGTCACTTATTACTCGGAAATCGCAGAGTTTTAGGAGCATATATACTTAGTACGAACAATTGAAAAGATATTGGACTTATAGTTAGTTTAGTACATAGTTAATAGTCATTAGTTTAATAGTTAATTAGTGTAGTCCATGGAAAAGATTGATGAATTTATATGAAGCATCAATCTATCCACTAATATCTATCTTTAAAGCAAACATATCGCCATTGGTTAGACTGTTAAAGTACATTCTATTTACCGTGTTTCGACGTTAAATTATAATTTGGAACGTCTAAATTTTAAACCAAAAGCAGGAGGCTTACTCTTGAATCGAATACCGATCGATCCACATTGATATTATGAAATTTCGTACATTTGAGTTACAACACTAGCGCCCATTGCATGCATATTGCGTAGGTATATAATATATACCTAATGAACTAAATGGTATTGAATTTGACTTTATATTCCGTACTCTAAATGCTATTTTAACAGCTACGATTGGGGTTGAATAGTTTTAACATTGGATAATTATTGAGATTTTATTGGATTGAAATTGCATTGATATTGAGATTGGTTTCAAGAGTAATCACCTTGTTAAGTTTTTATGTCTATTTATTAGCCACAAAATGTTTCAAACAACTGTTTTTAACGTAAGTTATTGACCAAAGCTAGGTCGGATTCCACAGGTTGTGAAGTTAACAAGACGCAATGTTCACGTGAAAAATTAAAAGTAACTGAATAATAACTAAGTATTTTTTCTTGTATAAATCGGGATGCAATACCCCTAATTCCTTTACCTCTTTTCCGGAATACTGTCAGAGTCACTCATCTCAGAAGCTAAGGCAAAACACCGTTTACCCAAGCTTGAGAAAAAAAAAAGTTTTCAATGTTGCCCCGTTATAAAAAAATCCCGAAGGCGAGGGAGATTTGACACAAATCGCGAACACTTGAAGCACTCAGACCTAGATCCAGAACCGTCTGAATGTACGACTATAATAGAAGTGGTGATAGGTTCCAAGATCTGAATCCGGCACCATAACCCGCACTACTAAATGCCGCATTGAAGCCAAATCTTAAGTTAAGATTTAAACAAAATATGAGATAATATTGTGTACATAATTTTCAGTAGCAACACTGCGGTACTTATAACTTGTTTGAATAAGCATTACAATAGATTTTCCCTTAATACAATGATTCATTGTGTCACCAAGATTTTCTATTTACGTAATCAGGAAATTGTTTAATATTTGCATTTTTAAATCTATTACTAATATTACATCGCCATGTTTGGTATTGTTTGGAAAACGGTAATCCCATGAACTTATGTTGGATTACGAAAATTGTTTTTAGCATTTGTTAGGTCTCTGTTTGCGGAAGATTTTTGGCAAAAACGTGACGCTGCGACATTGTGACATTCGGCACGTTTTGGTAACACTTTTGGTTCCTTTCTTTTGTTTCTAAGGCCTCCATTTGGGTTTTTTACTCCTTTACTTGCTGAAGGGGTTAGCCGTGTATGACTCAATTCGCCAGTTATGTTTCTGGTTTCTTATGGGTCGGCAAGACGCATGTAATGCCCCAAGTGTTGCAGGCGTACGTAGGCCACGGTAACCGCTTACCACACAGGTGGGCCGTGAGCTTTTTTGCCACCGTCGTGGTATAAAAAAAATCTACTCCATGTAAGACTACTGTTGTTGCCATTCGGACCAGTACGAATTTTAAGTATTCTACTGAATTCAAATGTGGAATTGAGAATTGGTGAAAAGGAAGAGGACGACCAAAGAAAAAATAGATCCCGAATGGATTGTGTGTAACGAAAAGGTTTGATAGAGGAGAAATAAAAAAAAAGAAAGTGGCGCTTGCCTTATTGCACCGACCATGAGTAACGTGGAGTAAAGACAAGAACAGGATGACAGTTTTTAATATCGTTTTATAGATCAAATTACGCCGCCTTCTCCGATAGCAATGAAAACTATACTAAATTGGAATTTTGTATTTTCTTCTTTTGAAAAACAATACTTTCTTTTATTCTGTGCTTAAGTTACCTTTTTACAGAGTTTATTATAAGTTATATAAGTTTATTTCAACAAGAGTGCCTTCACAAATAAATCAAGCAACGTGGCATTCTCTACTTGTGCTATTCTATTAACTACAGGCGCAATTTTCTTTAGTCGTTTTTATGACGGACTAGCTCCTGCCCGCCAATCCTGTTTCTCCCGTTCTCGTAGGATTATCAGGACTTTTTTCTGTCATAAGAACCTTCTCCTGGCGATTATAAAAACAACAAATAAAAAAAATCAGCCAAATCGGTCTAGCTGTCCTCAAGTTATGGCGTGACAACGGGAAACGGGTTTCATTTTTATATACATAGTGTGGTATATTATTTACTATTTTCTGTAAGTTACATTAAACTACAAACTAAGAGGAACATTTAGATATTTCCTCCTTTGTCTAATAGTTACTGAAGTAAATTTTGCGGTTTCTAGTTTACTATGGAATAAATAGAAATACGCTGTGTAATTTTATTGAAATAATAATTACTCAATTACTATTTTTAGAAATTGTTCACGGTTTCGGAATAAATAGAATGATTGTCTGTGTCTTGATTACCCCATGGTTGTAAGGTTTTTGAATAAGTCTTGTAACTTTATTAATACTAATTAATATCTTTTTTTTTTAAATAAAACATGGCCCCACTAGGATTTTCTCCTGTATCGTGGGTGCATTTACAAACATACAAGTTCACTTACACATAACACCCAGACCCGGGACAACAATTTGTGGATTACACAAAGAGTTCGTGGGGAAATCGAACCAGAGCCACGTTGCGCGGCAGCCAGCTGCCCAACCACCGCACCGACCGTGTCTAGTCGCTATTCGCTATATCTAAATTTTACTTAATTGTCCAATGTCTATAGACATTGACAGCATAGGTTATGGATAACACTAGAAAGCAAACTAACAATGTATTAGACACAATTTATATATTTTCCTCCGTAACTCCCCTGTGCAACATAGAATACAATATAATAATTGTGTAGAATCTTAGTAGTCAGCTCTTACAACTATGGAAGCATTGAGTTTTAGCCAAAAACCCCAGTTTTGTATTGAGAACGGTCATCATTTTCGGTGGTATTAACTCGTCGAGTACCGGTTTTGTAGACACAATTATAGAACAATAGGTTGCGGTCACCGGTGACCGCTTGGTGTTTGACAGTTTAATGAGGGAAAATTATCGAATGACTTCTCCCGCCTGTGTGAGGTAAAAGGGACCGTCCAACTCTTACTGACTAAAAACCACCCCGTTCCTACTTTTACTCTTCGAACCGGAGCCCTGGTAACCTGTTAAATCCTCCGCGGCTCCGTATCAGTATCAGCACTATTGCGCCCCATCTGTGGGGGTCGCCACGTGACACGCGTACGCTCGGTGGCGGCAAGGTCTACACATTTCACATAGACGGGATTGCCGAGCAGCGTTCTCTGATAAACTGGAACCTATCAAACTGCGACACTTCAAATCGCTTGCCAAGCGTTATGGCAAAACCTCGTATATAGAGGAGGCCCATACTTTAACAATGGCTGGTTCCCGTGGACATTTGAATCTCCAACAAGTCAGAAGTTTTTATCCGATAATGAAAAAAAAAAGATATAAAACATTCGCTATCTTTTATAGTTTTATGAACAAAGCTAAGTAACTTATCAAAGACATCCACTTGAATTGATAACAGCTGACTATTGATTATTTTATCTATATCGATTCAGTATTCTTGGCTTTCAAGATAAAAGTAATGCTGTATAATAATTATTAATATCTAAAGTAGCCTTAACATTAATTGGATGACGGTGTGATTTTATGTTCCTTATTTAAAAGGAGAAATTTTGTCCAGTCCCATGTAATAGGCTCACCCCCTATTACATGGGACTCATGACATAAATAGTGAAACATTGCACAATGGCATTAAATACCGTAATGTGCAACTCTGCCTACCCCTTCAAGGATAAAAGGCGTGAAGTTATAAATAAGTAAAATAAGAGAAATTTTGTTTTAAAGTAGTTATCACCATCACCATCAATAGCCTGAGAAAATCCCCTACAGGGCTTTGGGCTTTGTCTGTACTGTTTGATTTTCACGCTTGAAAAGCAGGTATTATGGTATATTTTACAATAAATGAGGTACAAATTTACCGCTTGTAAAATTAGATTAGATTTAGATGATGATGATGATGATAAATTAGATAAGAGTTAAAGAAGTGTGTAATAGTCTCATATCAGAGGTACGATATTATTAATTTAAAATATCCTATAGCAAAAATAATCTGAATCAAATTTTGCCAAATAAATAACAAACAAAAGAGTTATAATACCATATCTATTTAGTACAAATAATAGGTACTACACTTAGGTACAATACAAGTTTTAAATAAAATCTAAATGAGGTCTGTTCAGTTTGAGTAAAAACACCTAACTTGGGACGTTGGACATCTTCCTAGAATTGATTGAGATCAAAACCACTTTTCTAGTTAGGAGATAATAAACCATTACAGATAGACAGAGGTGCAAATTATGCTACTACACAATGTAACACACACTTTTCAATATTTATGTTATGAGTCCCATGTAATAGGGGGTGAGCCTATTGCCATATACCGGACACAATTCTAGACTCCGTGCTACTATTGAGAATTAAAAAAACCAGTAATACTTTGCTCAACCCAGGAATCGAACCCGAAATCCCTTGCCCGATAGTCGCACTTACGACCATTCGGCCAACGAGGCAGCATGTACTGTACTTAGAATATTACTATATTATATTCTCAAACACATGAATAAAAACAATGCTTATAATTAAGAACTTACCATCCATTAGGGTCCAACTTTTCCTTCTCCCAATCGGTTCCTTTCTCATCGTTTTTCATTTTTATCACTTTCTTTTTTAATTATTTATTTTATTTTAACACAAAAGTTCACTCATTATACCACAGGCTGTTTTTATATTATTTTTTTTCTAGTATTTGATTGTAAAGGTAACTTTGTCTATAATGATAAATTCGTATAATTTTTTGCTATATTTTTATACGAACAGGGGTGTCGGATTTTTCACAGCTAAAGCTAAACAAGGATGTCTATACGTATAGAAGGTTCGCATAAAATACATTAAAACATGAATGTGGTGGTTTTTATAAGAACCAAGATAGGTAAAGCAAATGTTTGATAGGATAAATGAAATCGTATCTTTAGCTATTTGCGGTATTTTTCACTTTGCTACCGCTAAACTTCTTTGTCTTATGTTTAGTCATGTAATCATGTGATACTGTTATTTTAGTCTTACCTAAGCGTTCGTTAAACAGACTTAAAAATTGGTGATAGAATTTAGAGTGAGTTTAGATTATGTTTCCGGAATAAGCTATTACTTTTCAAGTCTATGTTTAAGAGAAGTTAACGATTTTTTTTGTAATCCTGTACCTAAAGCCGGCGCCCCTGTAGATATGTACAAAATAATAGATATTGTAATAACTCTGTTGTTTTTAGAATTTAACTAAGTTACGTTGACGTTTCATTTTTTGGTCCGCTCCGTTTTTACTTAAAAGTCTCTAGTCTCTGGTTAAACACGTATTGTATATAGGAACTCCTTTTTTAAGTGATTTTTTAAGTGATCTTACAAACAATATGAAAAATACTTTTGTTTTAAACACAAAGCAAATTAACCACGCAACTCGACCACGAACCTATTAATTCTAATAATAGTTCAACTAGGACTAAACAAAATGTCTTATAACTTTGTCATTGAAGGCTGTGAGTTGTAGATTAACTAATTATTAAGTTTTTGTCGCCGTTTGTCTGTACCGACGTGGTAATTTGTTAACATACTAAGTACTACTTTTAATTTGTTTCATCAGATAAGAAAAATCAATGTGTTATTTTACAAGCACCGAGGAAGAATTATTTGAAGATGTATGGGAACATTTTACGGTGATTCTGTAGTAAAAAACTATAAATCACTATGAAATGATTAGTAATAAAATACAAAAAGGGTTGTAGTGAGCTTTAGACAGAATTGATTGGAATCTCTTTATATTCTCGAATCGAAATCAAGCGATCCGAAGAGAACCAAAGTTATTGACATAGCCCAAAGGACAAGCAAGCTGCAATAGCAGTGGGCCGGTCACATTAATCTGTCGGACAACAGTGGACTAGAAGGGAATCTAGATATTTTCTGAGGCCTTAGTACGAGTTTGTTTTACGTTTAAAGTAATGGTAACGAGTACGCATTCGGCGCGCTGATTGGTTGGTTCATTGGCGCCGGCCAATCAGAGTGCCAAACGCGCACTCGTTTCGAATACTTTAAACGTATATGAAACTCGTGCTAAGGCCTCTGGAGTGAAAGTCACGTCTAGGCAAACATAATATAGGGCGTCCTTAAAGAAAGATTTGGACTAACACTTTTTAAAAGACTGGTTGTGTCACCAAGTATCTAGGTAATAAAAATAAATAGCTAAAGAAACAATCACAGCTCGGAAAACGTAATGATTCGTCATTATCAACGTTTGTTAATTTTCCGCAATGGCCTTCCTTGGCGGCCTATCTCCGCACATTGACGTCAACAATACAGTAGTCTGATTATATTGCAGTTCGACTTAAAAAGACAAATACTTCGCGTCTATGCGGTAGGTCTTAGGAAGATTACGTCATATTTTCAATTGGTGCTTTTAACCCTTTTTATGGGGGGAAAATCATCGAATGACTGCTCCCGCCCGGGTGAGACGGGAGGGAGTGTCAGACTCTTACTGACTAAAAACCACGCCGTTCCTTCTCCTGCACGTCGAGCCGGAGCCCCGGTAACCCATTAGGTTCTTTAGAGTGCCAGTTTATGTCACCGACGCCTGCTAGTAGAAGTTTGACTTTCACCCTTTTTATACTTGGCAGTTAAAGTGTTAATCGACTTCATATCGGTCCGCAAGGAAGATTGGTATATTGGACTGCAACTCCTGGAAGCCAGGGCCTGACAGTAGGGAGCGACCAAAAAGTTCCGTAAACATGAAATCCTGACGACTTCAGGGTCAAAATGGTCATGGATCTCGTAAAAAACTTTAAAATATGATATGAGTGGAGTGTATTTACATTAATTGCTCAAGTTCGAGCTATTTTGATTTAGGTAAATATCGAGTGGTGTACATTTCCGCTCGGCTTTAAGACGTGATAAAAAAACTTATATTTAATACGCAAAGTCAATAGGATAATGTGCAGATGACTTGTAAAATATAAAATAAAATGATTTTCCGAGCATCTCCCCTCATTGCTGAGGGCCTCATAATTTTTGTGTAGGTAGCATAAGCCTGCGAAATTTCACATGCTTCGGATAATGAGAACTATTTTTTTAAAAAGCGAGTCTGTCCATACTAGTTAACTCATTGAGTACCGTCATTATAGACACAATTATAGAACAATAGGTTGCGGTCACCGGTGACCGCTTGGTGTTTGACAGTTTAAGTCTAGGTTTTTTAATCTACGCTGTATTTAATGGAGAAAACAATCATATTAATTTGACTTGACCGTTATTCGAAGCTTATTTAATTGAGATAGGCCTTCCGCTTCCCTCCTTCCGCTTTTCCTATATGTCTATCTCTTTCTACTACGTCACTTCCATTTGGCAGTGGTGGGGAGGCTTGCTAAGAGAGACTCGCCATTTTTATTTCATTGGCGTCTTGTTTCCCGCCGTAAACGGTTGTGCCTTGTGAGTCACAAGACAACCATTCACAAGTTGTGAAACTACCTTCCGATTTTATTATTATTTCTTTTTTATAAAAGTGATAAATGTCCTAACGGCTTTTATTACAATTGTAAAAATTTTAAATTAAATAAAGATTATTCTTTCGTTATCTATTATGGAAAATTCAGGTAATAATTGCGATTATTCATGTTGTTCCTGAACACTTCTTCGTATGGAAGTGTCGATCTAAACGTAAGTTTCGAAAACTATCTAAACAGGTACGTAACCTTTAGCAATAGATTGTTTGTACGTGAGTACCATTTTGGACCATGCATTTCTGTCTAATGTTATTGAAAATTTATAAGAATATTATTTTGATGTTGATGACCTGATAAATTGTTTTGAAATTGTATGTCTATCAAAGTGTGTCTTCGGATAAAACTCAAGAGCTGTGCTCCCAACAGAACTGTTGGTTAATTCGGTACAGTCTTGGACTGTATATTGCATACGTGGAATTGCTGACGCGATACCCTATGCTATAGCTATTGCTCAGAAAATCGGGTGGATTTGTACCACTATACGAACAAAGAACGAAGGTTCTGTTCGACTGTTAATAATATTGCACAGTTATTTGTCTGTTGTACCTAATTATCTTGCAAAAGTGAGATGACTATGCAAATATAGAACCGAAGTGCGTTCCTATTATATATTTTGTTGCTTTGATATTAAGTTTGAGTTTAAAGTTAATGGTATACTTGATTGAATATTGTGTGCACTTTAACACGGGATTTTCGGAACCCTTCAAACTGCTAACTGCTACATGTGATATGCTACTTCAAAAGTACCCTTTTTCCACAGGGGATTTTAGTAAGTACCTAGTCTTAAGCTTTATTACAGATTGTTTGCGGACATCGTTCTGAGATTCTCC